GCGATGGCCTCCACCTAGTAGCTTCTTGCTTCTAGTAGAAATGCCCTTGTTACTAGGAGCTTCTAGTTACTAGAAAGCTTTATTGTTACTACTAGCGATGGCCTCCACCTAGTAGCTTCTTGCTACTAGAAATGCCCTTGTTACTAGCAGGTTCTAGTTACTAGAAAGCTGTCTAGTACCTCTGTCTTTTCGGCAACGTCTTTAATTAATACATGTTAAATACATGTTATAACAAGGTTGGTAGAAATCACTCCATCAAGGCGCGTATCTCAAGACTGCATTTTGCAACTCAGGACAGAAGGCGTGCGAAAGCGGCGCTGGCGCATCGTCATAGTGGAATGAATCCGCGAGAAAAAGAGATGCTTTCAACTTTCAGCTGCTTGGATCTGCGAAACACATCCGAATGATTTGTTTCCCGAATAGTTTTGCACTTCCCGAATAGCTTTGCACTCTTCGAATCCAGCTCCCAACTCTGAGAAAAGGCTGCACCGTTGAACAACTGCAGAGGCTTTTGTCCTAAACCTGTTGGTGAACACGTGCAAGGAGATGTTGATTCAATTTGCAACCTGTTCCTGATTGTTCAAAGAAACACGCACGCACAAACACACACACACACATATAGTATATATATATATATTCCCTGCTCGTAACCCTTTGCCTTTGCACCTGAGCTTTTGCATCCTTGCACGGTTTGGAATTGTTATGAGGCAACACATTGGCAGCCGCTGCTGCTTCTGCAGAAGAACTTGTCATGAGCAGCTTTGGGCTTCTTGCATTCTTTCTAGTTGAGTCTCCCAGCATCTCAGTCCCCGCTGCATCCTGGAGACATCCATGCACCTTGCGTTTGAGTTCTGCTTCGCGTTTGCAGCCTCATTCGGAGCACCTAGAGTTCAAGCAACGCTGTCACAGTTCATACAAGTCTGCTTGCTTGAACCCCGCTGTGCGCGTCTTTGTTGGAGTGAGATGTTGCTCTTTGCCAATGGCCAGGTTCGTCATGCCTTGACTCCTTGCTGTTTGCAGAACCAGACAGGCGTCTCAGTCGGGTTCTAGCCTGGCAGTCGACTGCAGCGGTTTGTGACTTCATGAGCCCTCCCCCCTGGTGTCGAAGCAAGCAACCACAAGTCGCAAAAAAGAACACCTATATATGAGTTCCGGTTCGCGATTCAAGCGCCAGCATCCGACGACGGACTTTGCGATTTGCATTGTTTGGCTCACCACAGATGTTGCGCTCAATTTTTGGATATATGAACTTGTTGGCTGAGATTTTTGACCTGCCAAAAGGGACAATTTTGACATATATATTTTTACATGTTTTTTTTTGCAGTGGCGAACGCGTGGCATGCGTCAAGGCTGTCATGCAGGTTCCGCTCACTTCTCTAATCAGCGTTGTAAGAGCATCACGACGGGTTTTGCAAAACGACCTTAGAGCGTGTCGCCACCATTTTTTTGATTGACATGGCACCTGTATAGTACAGTGTAACACACGCTTTTGTACAGTACAGTGTAGAGGGGCTCAAAGGTTATGTGTTTGTTATTTTTGGGAGTGACTTTGCACACCACCAGAGCTCTGACCCGATCATTTCGACGATCACCGACAGCGGCCTCAGTGGCGCGTGTGACCGAAAGTGGGGCCTGGTCTACCCCCATCGCCATCATCGCCATTTGTGTCATGCATGTGCCTTTGACGCAGTGCAACCGTTTTGATGTGCCTCGCCTGCGATCCAGGGCGGGCATCTTTTCCGTCCCTTGCGCCGTTCGCGGAATACCAGCAACACTTTGTTTCACCTGCAGTCATTTGCAGCTGTTCTTTGCGTTCTGCCGCGTTCAATTCGGTAATGGCGACGAAGCTACCAACCACCCTCTTGATGCGACTTGCCTCTCAGCAAGGTCCTTGCCGTTGCCCAGTTTCTTCCCAAAAGCGTGACCTTCTCAGGGGCTTTCATGAAGACTAACTAGTGCTAGGTGCGCTAGCCAACTCGAGTTCCTCCTGTGTTGGTTGTGGGAGGTTCAGCCGGAGACAAGTGAACCCCCCTGTTTTTCCCCAACAGCGAAGCTTGCAGGTCAAGCAAAGACCTCGGAGCAGATTGGAGCAGGTTTCGGAGCAAGTTCTCAGCAAGTTCCGGTGCACGTTCAAGAGCAGTTTGGCGAGCAACTTCCAGAGGAGGTTCCGGAGGTTCCCCCCCAGAGGAGGTTCCAGAGCACCTTTTTTGAGGAGATTCTAGGGCAGGTTGGGGAGCACGGTCCCTTGGAGCAGGTTCCAAAAAGCTCGTTCCAAAGCAGGAAAATATTCTGGGGCGCGTTCCGGACTATGTTCCAGAGCAGGAGCGAGTTCCGGAACAAGTTCCCACTGCTGCAGGTTCTGGAACACTTTCCGCCGAAACAAACTCCGTCGAAGACATGTGCTGACACGTCATGGCTTGAACAACGTTTTGCGGGCGGCACACCCCCAACCCCCTTTGCGCCAGGCTCCCAATCCGCCCGTCAAAGTCCCAAAAGCATTGCTGAGAGGTCCAAAGCGGGGTGATGTTGCCAAAAATTCTCTTGGTTGCCTATACTTCGTGGAACCCGTCCACGGAGATGCTAGGCGCAAAATGATGCAAAATTGCTATTGTCACGTCACATGTTAGTAATGTCACGGCAGCCGCGAACAGGAAGGCCGTAAGTCTTGATCTCCTCCTCAGCCCCCCCCCATCTGGTTGGTTTTCAAGTGGGTGTGGGCGGCAAGTGCCCAGTGCCAACTGCCATCACGCGGGACGGCTTCGTGGTTGCAATCTTTGTGCGGGAGACGGCGCTGCAAGACATGCGGGCCAAACTTCCTCCGTCGTTGAGCATATCATAACATGAACCCAACGAGATGACATTCAATGTTGCCTTCGTATATTGTAATGGTTGTTGTTTCTATAGTCAACGTTTTTGTGCACCCAGACGTGGGTTCTCCTGGAATGAAAGCGGGGCCTGGTATGGCGCATTGTTGGCCCCGGTCATATTCATGGTCCTTCACGAATGAAATTTACGAGCGGACACCTGCATGGAAACAGCCCGTATTGTAGTTTCTAAATAAGCACTGTGCACTTATGTATATATACCTCACACCTCGACCGCTTTGGCTCAAGGAAAAGGTGTGCACTGTTGGCTGTTTGCCTATAACTATAGGTTATCAGCCGTATAGCCATAGGCCCGTAGTATTGCTCCGCGTCATTTGCCGCCATGGACATGTCACTCACGAGGGAGGTACAAGTTGCGAAGTTGCTGGGCAGCAGGCCCTTTCACAGGCTAGGATGGCATAGAGTCGATGGCCAAGTTCAACCACCTTGTCCGAGGCAAACTCTGCCAAAGTGCAGGGTTCATCCAGTTCTTCAACCTGCTTCAGAAGTTCAACGTATCGATGATCTCCGTAAGTCAGCCAATTCTTGAAATTGTCAGACCAGCTCACGAAGCGAAGAGGGTCATCCACTTCAAAAGCTTCAGGTGCACGTAAGACCTTGCTGGCTTCACCAAAACCTCCTTTATAGTCCTTCTTGTCCAGCTTCTCTGCAACCGCAGCCGAAGATCTTGCTGCGGCCACCGTCGCTTCGGTCAGCTGCATCATATGAGCGAACATGCGTTGCACCTGTTCTCCATCCATGGCTTGCCCTGTCGTCCACAAAGTCAAAAACAAAGCACTCCTCAGCTTCATTCTGAATTCAAACTGAGTTCGAAGATGTCCATTCCACCTCCGAGCCTTGCTCAAGTGGCCCTTGGGCTCCTCAAACCTCTTCTTCAGCTTTCTAGGTCCCTTCTGGAATCGATACATCATCTCGACTCCAACCAGTACGAAGAGGATCATGTCACCCCATCCTTTTCCATCACTGTCTGCGGGATCGTTGAGTAGTGCTCAAGGTCGAAGACCAACACACCCAAGTGATATTCAATCAGCTTGACATTCTTAAAGAAGTAGCTGCTGTTCACAACCATGGACTCATCACATGCACAGCCCAAGTACCGATCTTGGACAGTTTCTGCGCTGCTATTGTTCAGGCTCAAAAAGTCAAAGCGCCAATCTTCGACCCGAAGGAAAAAACCCGTCTTCAAGTCAACCTCATGTCGACCACGCCCCAAAAGGTCTGCCTGAAGGTCACCTGCAGCACACATCCTGGTGGTACCAAGCCACCTCATATTCTCCTCTTCAAAGTCCATGCTGTCCCACTCAAGGTTTCGACCATCGTCTCGAGGGCACCAATCCCTTCTAAACCTGTCGTCCTTCATGAAGTCCTGCAAGTCCACCATGTTCGTGAAGGGGATGTCGACCTTGGTCTCCTCCTTGTCCGGGATGTTGTCCAAATGCTCAACGCAGCCACCAATCGTCAGCAGGAAGAAGGCCAGCGCTCCATGGCATGGCATCAGGTGGCGCGGAACCCATGGAGCCGAGACTTTGCCCGGCTCCGCTACCATGTCAAAGGCAGCGAAAACACGCGCACTGCTCCATTTTCTTCAAAGGGAGTGCTTGGGCCACTTAAGGCCAATCCGGGGATGTGCTCACATGTCAAACTTCTGACAACTTCCATCATTCTCACGAGCGCTGGATTGCCGATACTGGCAGTGCCCAGGACCTGTTGACGAGAAATGACATTCCGGATGAGTTCCAGTATCGGCCGGATCGGCCGATTGCTATCATTACCGCAAACGGTCACAGCTCGTCAGCACTGCAGGCAAAGGTGTACAATGATACTCTTGGTTGCAAGTTTGACCCGTATCTTCTAGAGTCTACGCCTCCTGTGATGTCCGTAGGCGTGAGATGTGTTGATCAAGGTTATGACTTTGTATGGAGGTCAGGTAAGTCGCCATACTTTGGGAAACCGGAAGGGTATGCCGGATCATCAGCAAATGAAAGTGAGCCCGCTCCCAAAATGCTGCCCACGTGTGGGTACAGTGTTCAGAGACGACGTCGCGACAAGCTTGTTAGGGTTGCTAGGCTCCAGAGTACAGGCATCCCTTGATGTTGAATGATTAAACACGTTAAACTAGAGAAGAAGGATGTGATACTGTCCAAGAGTGGCGTCAGGTCGGCGCAAAAGCCAAGACACAGGGTCGCAAAGTCCACATTGGCAAGGTCTTTGAGGTTTGTGTCGAAAAAAGCAGCGAGTTGCCATCCGCGCACCCACTTCGCAAGTTCAAGGAACGAACTGTGTTCCAAGGGAACAACGTCCGTGATGAAAATAGTGAAGTGGCCTTGTTTAGTGAGCTCGGGTCGTCCCCGGCTACAATGGAAGCGGGAACGACAGTCGACGCATATGGTGCCCAACCAGTCTTCGATACTGAGCAAGCTGATGGCAAGCAGGCATATACTCAAGCCCTCATGAAAGGACTTGAAGCGTGGGTTGAATTCCCAAGGGACCGATGGCCAAAGTCTTGGGTGGCAAGTATGAGAGACCGGCATGTAGACTTCGCATTGCTCTCCAGATTCCGGGGGGGCTTTGGGAGCAGCGC